GGGATATATAAATGAGTTCAAGGCCATCCTGTACTACAGAGGGAGACCCTGTCTCAAACACAAGTCTGTTTCGAATCATGTAAACAAAGTTTTTAGAGTCAAACAGATTTATGTTCAAAAAAATTTTTTGGCAAATTACTTTATCTCTGAACCTCATCTATGTCATTTGTAAAAAGAGGATAATAATGTAAACTCTAGGAGTTTATTGTGCACATTAGTAAATTATGTAATGAAGTTCTATATATTAGCCATTTCCAATCAGTCATAATTCATAACTCCTTCCTTCTACCAATGCATACTTTTGTGAGTCATGAAATTGCATACCAGTACTCTGAAACATCTTTGGCACAAATGATAAAGTGTCAGTCAAAGGAAGGAAGGAAAAAAGGGAGGGATGGAAGGAATGAATGAAGGAGAAGGAGGAGGAGAATAAGGAGAAGAGGAGGAAGAGAGAACTTGAGAGAAAGATTACACTAAAATTTACAAAGTTCTGTGTGCAAAACTAAAAATAACCTGACAAGGTCCATGCCCAGCAAGGCTTCCTCATCACAAACTTCTTCTCTTCCCCATACAGCTTCATTCCCAATGCAAACTCCATGCTCATTGGCTCCCATTTCTGCCCCCCACAACCATGCAGGGCGACTAAGGACAACAGCATATGTTTCAGGAACTTGTTCAATTTCTATGTAAGTACACTGTAAGAAGAAAAGTCACACAATAACCACAAAATTAAAAAGGAAAAGTCTTCAAAATCCAAAATTCATAGCATTCAGAATATATACTCATAATGAAAGTGACAAATGAAACATAAATAAAAAGTATCAATAATAAAATAGTAACCTTAAGACATTCAAAATCAACTCTAAAGTATTCATTTGAATATTTGCTGAGCATCTTCTAAGATAGTTCAAGAGAGAGTTTAATTTTACAATACTAAGACTTCTACATTACCTGAGATACAATAAAATATAAAGTATAAGGTCCAGGAAGAAAAGCAAACACAAGGGGGTATGGAAACTCAGGATAAAGATTTCTAGTTAGGATGTCTCATGCTGTTGTAGATGATTATATGACTTGAAGACTAAGGAAACTGTTCTCAAACCTCAATGTCCAAGTGTTTTCTGAGAAGGGAGATAAGTACCCCCGTGGCCTCTACATGAGTACCATTGTAGAGGCCTATAGCTCATGTGAGTGTGGCCTATCAGGTTTGTCCGCAGCAGTGAAAACAACAAGACACATTGTTTGCCAAGGTGGACTACATATAAATATTCAGAGATCAAACGGAATGGTATTCCAGATGGATAAGCCATCTCAGAAAAAGAAAAAATATGATCAAATAAAAAACTCAAAAAGTATGTAACTTATCAACAAAATATGAAACTCATTTTAATTTCTATGTTAAATGAATTTCTAAAATGCACTTTAAAAATGAGCCTTTATTTTATATATAGTATGGTGACTACATAGGTTGTGTATTGACAGTGTTATTCAAGAGCATACTGAACCTTTTTGATGAGTCCTAAAATTTATTTCCAGACTCTGGAGTGGCTTCTCTTACTCTACGCCTATCAGAATCCCTTTTGTCAGTCAAATTCCAGCTGAAACTCCAACTCCTAGTGAAGCTTTCCTTGATTTAAGTGTACATCTTTGCTGCCACGCATGCTGCTTCTACTTAGATTTATTTCCTTTACAGTATTTTATAGTGGGGTTATTAGGATACATAAGAGAGTGTTTCAGTCTTTTTGTTTTGTTTTTGAGTGCCCCAGTCTTAATAGTTAACTTTAATTGCTCATCCTAATACATTCACACATAAATATACTCAAATATTTGATCAATCAACAATTTGTTAATTCAATTTCTTCTAAATCACTGAAATTACAGACTAGCTAGAAGTTTATGTCTGATTCAAATTATGCTCTTTATTTGAATTTTAACTTTTGTAATCTATCAAGTTTGTACTTAATGATAATACCACTTGTGATATTTTTAGAGAAGTGTGTTGGTAACAAGTACTGTATGTATTTCACCTACCTTAAGCTGTTCTCCCAAGTTATGAACTCCAGCAGGAAAATAAACTACCTCTTGTACTTCGTTGCAGAGTCTATCTGAATTTTTTCCAAAAATAATCCTGTTATCAATTGTTGATGGAGGTAATGCCACAAAAGTGTCGCAGGAACAGGGTTCCATTTTTGAAAAAAACTAAAGATCACATAAAGATTTCAAAATAAAAAGAGAAAATCATATTTAAATATGTATAGAACAAAGGGTTTTACTGTACTACCAAGAGATATTATTGTAATATCTAATAAAGGGTGTTCAGTGAAGTGTTAAACATCATATTCTATTAGTACAAAAATAAATGAGTTCAAAATCAACCATGTACTTACTACAAGAATCTCTAAACAAATGGCAATGAGATTTCTACTCTACAGACCAAATGTATTCTCTAAAGTCATTCTCTCCTAATGTCTCCCCTGGCTTCTCTTTCACTAACCCCATATTGTGGAATTTGTACATCTAGCTTACTGTCATGAAGCCCATACAGCTTTGTACCACTGTTGTGTACTCTGATCCCCCTTACTGGACAGCGAGATCTTGGAGAGGTAGGACTATGTTTTATGAATCTTTGTATTGTCACCAGTGGAATTTATTTTATGGTGGGAAAAATCTCCTATTCCTAGTATTTCCTCAAAAAAAAAAAAAAAAAAAAAAGGGCCTGAAGAAGACTACACATAGATCATAATACTGAAAACACAAACATTTCGATACAGAGTCACTAATTTGGCCAAATATAAAGGATGTCAGTAAACTTCCAATTTCCAAGTGGAAGTTCATGTATTTAACTTGTAAATCCTGAGTATAGAATATAGTACTTAGACTATGTCTTCATTTTTAATTTGAAAAATCTAAAATAGTTTTAGAACACCTATATTTTTATTTTTCTTTAAGAATGGGCTATGGAGATGGCTCAGTAGTGTAAACGCTTCCCAGGCAAGCGCATGGGCCTGAGTTCAATCCCCGTTTCTGCAAAAAAAAAAAAAGAATAGACACATGGCTTTAGTTTTCTTCTTTCCTTAATTTTTTTTTTTTCCTTTCTCTCTTTGGTGGAACCAGAGATTGAACTCAGGCCATTGCACTTGCCAGGGAAGCATTTATTCTACTGAACCATCTCCCTGGGCCCCTTTCCTTAATTTTTTAATGCCCAAATCTTGGAGTGGCTGTATATAGGTAGACATTAGCAATTTAAAAACAAACGTACAGGCTGGCCAAATAACTCATCGGATTAAAGCGCCTGCTTAGGCAGATGCAGGCGCTGTGATCCCCAGGCCTGCCCCCAGCACTTCGGAGGAGGCTGTAAACAGGAGGATCACTACGAGTCTGATCTATGCAGTGAGACCCTGCAGACCCTGAAGATCCTGTCCTAAAAATACAACAAACAAGCAAATAAACAAAAAAGTACATCTAATAAATGTTTCATTCAAAAGGAAACAAAACGACTCAAGAAATAAACTTCAGTCTGAAAACTCCTAAGAGTTTTCTCTTCTCAGTGATTGCTCTCCACTGTTTCTCTTCTTTTCTGTGTTTATTTCAGCTGAAATGTCTTGGGTCTCCTCCTATTTGTATTTCAATATTAGTTCTATTACTACATAACCTTGGAAGCCTACATAATCCCTTTCTGCACGCTGCCAGGCTGATCAGTAAAATAAATATGTACTATCTAATAAGACTGTTATAAAAATTCAACACGCATCTGGAGCATTTGTACAGTCATGGAACACAGTACAGCATCATATGAACGCTGTTATTGTGTTTGGCAGAAAAGTAAATTTCTGGCCCCCACCTCTACTAGGCTTTTGCACTGAGCTTCAGAGCTTTCCTACTGAGCTACATTCCCAGCCTTTAACTTTTTTTTTTTTTTTTTTAGGGGAGATGGCTCAGTGGAATAAGTGCTTCCCTGGCAAGCGCAGGACCTGAGTTCAATCCCTGGCTCCGTTAAAAAAATAAAAAAAAAGAGACAAAGTCTCTCCAAGTTGCCCACACTGGGCTCCAATTTGCGATTCTCTCGGTTCAGCCTCCCAGAGCGCTGGGATTACAGGTTTGAGCCACCAGGCCTGGTCAATAGGTTTCTTCTACACAACTGAGCTAAAACCCAATCCCAAAAGGTTTGGTTTATTAACTTCACTCCCCAGCCCCCCAATGCTCCTCCTCCCCACCCCTTATGCGCTACATCCGCTCAAAACCCTGAACTCCAAAGGCCAAGAAGTTGCACTAGATCATCTGAGCCAAAGCGGGTCGGCTGGAAACTTGCCGCCTAGTTAGGAAACCCCTTAGCCCAAGGAGAGACAAAGCTCTGACCCTAACGCATATTCATCATTTAGTATTTACTGAACAGCTCTCTGCCCCAGGATCCCTTCCCCGAAAACAATCAGGAACAAAAGAGCCTCCGCTGTGGTAGGGCCGACACTTATTTTACCCGCTTTAGTGCAAGAGCGCGCAGAAAATGCACTTCTGTGGAACCTCACGAACACAGCACGATTAGGGTAAGGATTATTATCTCCACAAACAGTGGTAGACATTTGCAACTCGAGTCAGCGCTCTCAGGAAGTAACGGGCTGTGCCCCGCCGTAACGCGGCCCGGGAGCCCTCCTCCGTGCTGCCCGCTCGGCTCCGCACGTCCCTCCCACATGCCCACCCCTCACCTGGTTTCCGAGCTGCTCGAAGTGACAGCAGGAAGGCGGGGGGGGGGGAGGAGCCACTCGCCGGAAGCGGTCGCCTTTGATCCCGGAAGTTCCCGCCTCCGAGGAAAGGCTCACTTCCGGTTGGGTTCAGAGTTTGTTTACGTTTCTCCCAGACCCAGCCGCTGCCTTCGGCAGCAGAGACTCCAAGATGGGAAAATCCTTCGCCAACTTCATGTGCAAAAAGGACTTTCACCCTGCCTCCAAGTCCAATATCAAGAAGGTGAGTAAGGGCAGCTGGAGAGGGGTATGGGTCAGGGCCGCCAAGTGCCCGGAGGCTGCTGGGGAGGGGATCCCGCGGTGACGGAGGCTCCCGGGCCACTGCCGGGTCCTGCGATTGCCCTGGTGCTCTCGCCTCTTCCTCTTCGCCAAGCAGCTTGCTGATGAAGGGGCTGCACAACGTTTATTCTCCAACCGCGAGGCGACGGGAGCCCCTCCTGGTGTAAACACGTCATGTGTGGGGACTGGCGTCACGCTTCCTCATCGGTACTTCTCGTAGCTGGCGTGAGTTTGGTCTTTTGGGTCTCCAGGGTCGCAGCTTCTTAGATCTGCTCTCGTGTACAAAGAAGACTCCTTGTCTGTAGCCCGCTGGGGCTTCACCCCGATTTGGTCATTAAGGCGCTCTCTTGTGGGTGTATAATACCCGTGTTTATTCTTTAGAATATTTCTATTGCAGAATTACTAATTTTAATTGTATGTGTTATACCCAATAATGAGTACTTAACAGGGAAGTCAAAGTTTTTGAATTTTTAATATTTATTGTATATAAAAAAGCATCGAAGTTTTCACCGTGAACTGTCTGAAAGATAACAAATTCTTATATGAACTACGGTGAAAATACCAATAGGACTGTACTCCCAACAGTAATCTTTGCTTCATTTGCCACACCCAGGGCTGTCTTCAGGAAGTTATCATCTAAGGGTTCCCTTTTGTTGAGGTTTCCCTATCAGTATTCCCATCATGGTGCACTGTTGATATCCACAGTACCATTTTTTTCTTTGCCATGTACAAGGCCAATAATATATCTTTCTGAACTCTGAAAATTATACTATGCAATTCTCTGTTTTGAAATTGCAACATGTTACTTGGAATTATCAACTTGTGTTCTGTTAGCATATGTAACTTCAATTGGAAACTGGTAAGCTAATTGTCAAATGTCACACTCCAGCTAGTTTGGGAGATGGGAGCAACAAGTGTGTTCACACCATCATTTGGTTTATTACTAAAGGAGTTAAGGACCTGGTGTCTAAGTTCTAAATAGAGTGCATAATAAATCTTCGCATCCACAAAGGCATTAAATTTTTATGGCATAGTTTGCAGACTTTTTGGGAATATACTGCCTGAAGCTACCGTGACCATGAAGTGCTGCAAAATATTCACTTACTGTTATGTATTCAGATGGTGTATAAGTTGCCTGATGGTTACTCAAAAATCTCTCCTAATGAGCAGGTAGCAGCAGATTATCAGTTCTTTTTCTTTCTTGGTATGTGGTTTTGTCATCAAACCTCAGGCAATTTCTCAATGTCATGATTGTCCTACAAACTTCAAGGCCACATCCATCACTTTCTATAAGTCTTTTACATTCCTATAGTGACCATGAAAAAGTCCTGGTAAATACAGCAGACCTATGAATGCTTTCAGTTCAGCTAGTGAAGTGTCATAATAAATACATTTTTGAGTGTGACTACCAGTGCATATAGAACATTTTACTTGTGTTTCAGCATTTGTGTATTCCACAACATCATGTAGCATTTTATTGGTTACAAACAGTTTCCAGGATTAAATAGCAGTGCTGGCATTCTGTCCAATAGGTTTCATCCCTGCCAAGATGCTCACTATATTTTTGAACCTAGTTCTAACATTGGATTATTTCATTTTGTTGTTTGACCATTGTACCATTTCAATTAGTCAAATATGTGCTCACATCACTGTTTTCTCTGTCATCTAAATCAAGGAGGTTTAATGTCCTGTATTTATATTGATTGATTCTTGTTCCATTTGACTGTCCCAAGAATTTTGATTCACATGCCCAATGTCAGAGTCATTATCTTCTTCATCTTCTATGCTTGAGTGGTCTGATAATTCACTTTTGACCCCCTCCAAAACTTGGAAATCTGGTTTTCCATGTGCCATGGCAGTGAATTAGGATGCTTCTACCAGAAAAAATCAAAATAAACCCCCATTCCATTGTGGTAAAATACTTGTTTACAACAGCAGAATAACACAGCTCTATTTTACTCTCCATGATGCTCAGGTAAACATGCACAACCTGTTAGGTGTAGCATAAATGTGAGTAAAAATTCTGATTGTACACTTTTGTGCATGTGCACACATCTTAGTGGTTGTACCAGGTGGGGTAAACACAAAGGATTGCTTCCTTTATGGCCCAGGTGCAGCTCTTGAGATGCACAGCTGGCTATAGTCATGCTAAAGTACAAATTTACAGTAGATACATATGGGATGGGTTTTTTATTAACCAAGTGTTGGGGGCCGGGGAGATGGCTCAGTGGAATAAGCGCTTCCCTGGCAAGCGCAAGGACCTGAGTTCAATCCCTGGTTTCACAAAAAAAACCAAACAAACTTTATTAACCAAGTGTTGTGTACATGGGATTTTTATATACAGTAAATTTACTCATTGATTCCGCTCTTCATCTCACCTGATAGTGCAATGTTGACCTGAGAAAGTTAGCTTTTTTAAAAAATTTTAAAAGATTAATTACAGGTCAGCCAAGTGTTGTATAGAAGGACTGTGGTGAAAACAAAATAAAGTACTGCATATTGTAGTCACTTTTGGCCTTGAGACCTTCCATAAAATATTTAGAATCTATGATCCTTAGTTTCCTAATCAACAAATTTAGAATGATCAGTGTGTTTGCCTTGACTCGTGCAATTGTGAGGGCTAAATGAGATAGTGCAGGTAAAAAATTTGAAACAAATAAGTGCCTGGCACTGTATGCACCACATAAAGGATATACTTAGTAAAATTTTTATTGTGAAAGTGAAGTAAGCTTTTGTTTTAAAGCCAGTTATAGTGAGTTACATGTGCATATTGTAGTATATTATCCTATATGTTAAAATGAGTGTTTGTTACATGTATTCTGCACATATGTGCATGCGTTAGGACATCTTTGGAAGGATATATAAGAAGTGGGTAACACTGCCTGTGAATATAATTAATTAAAAAATACCTTGTGGGGGCCGAGAGATGGCTCAGTGGAATAAGCGCCTGCCTGGCAAGCACAAGGGCCTGAGTTCAATCCCCGGTTCCACAAAAAAAAAAAAAAAAAAAATCTTGTGAATAACCAAAACTTGGTGTGACGCAGTCAGTGATACCACACTTCCTCCTTGCCTGGGAAAATTAGTCACTGTCTCATTCTGTTTCCTTGTCATGCCCATATTTCTATTGCTCAGATATCAAACTTTATTGTTACTATTTGCACAGTTAGTACCTTTTGTTTTTATCATGAAATAGTTTAATTATACAGAAATGTCACTGTAACTTTATGTTCGGGGATCATCAATATTTGCAAAGTAGGACTATGTTTTATTACTTCTTAGTCCATGGAATTTGAGCTCTTGAGCAATTGAGACTAGTGAAATAACTGTAAAATCTAAAGCTTTAAATTAATGATAGTTATTCTGTTAGAAATAATAATATTATTAGACTGGACATGGTGGCAGGTGCCTGTAATCCCAGCGCTTGGGAGGCTGAAAACAGGAGGATCACTACAAGTCCAAGCTGTATAGTGAGACCCTGTGCTAAATACTGTAAAAAAATAATAATAATAATTGAGAAATAATGTTATTGTAACCCAGTAAGCCCTGCAGTTCTTTACCATATTTTGGGCTTCACTGAAAATCCAAACATACACCTTTTAGTGACTATGCCAACTGTAGTTTGGGTTTTTGTTGTTGTTTTGTTTTGTTTTTCCCTACTATAATATTCCAGTAGAAATTTCAAAGAAATTTCTGATGTATTCTCTCCTCAATGTTTTGTTTTTGAGACAGGGTTTCCCCATGTAATGCGCACTGGCCTTGAACTCGTTTATGTAACCCATGCTGGCCCTGAACTTGTGGCAGTCCTTCTGCCTCAGCCTCCCAAGTGCTGGGATTACAGGTGTACACCACCACAGCTGTCTCCCCAGTGGTTTTTTTCCCACTTCTTTTCTACATCGTAAACTGATCCCTATAGAACCGTCTTACCTTAGTGCCTCCACAAAACTAATAATTACCCACATTCTACTTCTAAAGTTGAATAATGACAACCTTGTCCCACACCTTCCTCATATTTATCTGATCCCAGCTCATAGGTAATAATTCTAATTGTCTCAGTGTGTTTATCTTCCACTTTATTGTTTTAAAACTTAACATGTTTCCAGGAAAAAGTTGACTTACTCTTTCTTCTGTTGGTTATTTTTTCCTTTATTCTAAAGATGGTGAGGAGTTAGTGATACCTTTTAAGCTTGTAAGGTAATTAAATATCCTTGTAAGAGTCATGTGCATTTTTTCGCCTTGATCACATTTATGATTTTGAAAATCTAGAGATAGCCTCATCCTGGTGTGTTCATGCCCCCGAGCAACTCTAGAATATCTGATGTACCTCTCTCTCATCTCTGTTCTTCTCTTTTCCCACAACTAGTTTATTATTCCCCCTCCACTTCCTTCTTCTCATCTTCCTCTTTCTTTTTCTCTCCCCTCTCCAATTCTCTCTCAGTGTATTAATATCACACAGTAACATCTATAGCCATTGTTTAACCTTATGGGTCATTCCCTGTGCTAACTAGTGGTAGATTCTATGTAGAGAGATGCTTTCTCTATTCTCTGAAATAATGATGGAGATTTCTTAATAGTGGGGATTGAATATCACATCAAAGATTCATGTATATTGCCGGGCCAGGGAGATGGCTCAGTGGAATAAGCACTTGCCTGGCAAGCACAGGCACCTGAGTTCAATCCCCGGTTCTGCCAAAAAAAAAAAAAAGATTCATGTATATTGAGCTATATCT